GCCGCGAACTCGCTCGACGCGTTCGTGCGCTCGGTCCACCCGCTCGGGAGCGGGCGGGACATCGCGCGCGCGCTTCGCGCGGTGGCGGCGCGCGCGAGGGATCGGGGCGCTCGGTGGTCGGTGTCGTCGTGTGGGCGAACAGTCTGCCGGTGGTCACGTCCGCGACGCGGTGCCGCGGACGCCCACGGCGCGCACTCCGCGGCGCCCGTCGGCGCGCGACGGGCTCGGTATCACCCGCGCGGGTGTCGTCGACGCGACGCGCCGATCGCGCGCGCGGGTCCAGGGCGTCGCGCGCGCGATCGACCCGTCGCTCGATCGATCGCGCGTCGAGGGAGGATTGGACGTGCATTCAGCGCGAACCTCGTGACATGTCGGGAAGAGCGAGCGGTGATCGAGGACGGCGAACGGCGAACGCGATGGCGTCGCCGGAACGCGATGGGAGCGTGCGGGGAGGGGAGATGCGCGACGGCGTGGACGGTGAGGCGTATCCGACGCGATTCGCGTGGGCGTACGGCGGGCGAAACGTGCACTTGTGCGGGTCGTTCACGAATTGGCTCGAAACGGTCCCGATGGCGCAGGAGGGCGGGAACGGGGACGGACGAACGTTTACGGTGATGTGTGACCTCCCGCCGGGGTATCATCAGTATAAGTTCATCGTGGACGGGCAGTGGAGACACGACGAGAATCAAGCGTTCATTCAGGACCCGCTCGGAAACGTGAATAATTGGTTGTACGTGAAACCAGCGGAAGGGGTGACGCCGCCGCCGGCGAGCGCACCGACGACGGCGATGGAGACGCCGCGGAGCGCGCCGGTGCCGGTGCCGGGCAAGGCGCACCGAGTGGCGATGAGCGAGGACACCGGAGGCATGGATTGGATGCGAGACGACGCGGGCGACGGAGAGACCACGGCGGTGCGGGCTGGGGCGGTTAAGGCGAGACGAACGAGCATGGACACGGCGAGCGCGCAGAGGGCAATCGCGGAGGAGAATGGGTCTGACGTCGGGAGTCCGAGAAGTGGGAGTGAAATCGATACGAGCGGGGCGCGCGTGATGGAGTTTTTACACAAGCATACAGCGTACGAGCTCATCCCGGAATCGAACAAGGTCGTGGTGTTAGACACCAAGCTGCCTATTCGGCAGGCGTTCCATGCATTTTATGAGCAAGGTATTTACGCCGCCCCTCTGTGGGATGAGGAAAAGAGAGACTTCGTTGGTTTGTTGAGCGCAGGCGACTTCATCGACATCATGCGTCGGTTGACCAACGCGCTGTCAGAGCGCGATGACGTGAGCGACGCGGATCTCGATCAGTACACCATTGATCTTGTTCGAGAGGAGTATCATGAGGAAGGCGTCAGCGTGCGGCCGCTCATTCACGTCAAACCTGAAGATTCGTTGTATCACGTGGCGCTGACGATGACGGAAGCCGGTGTGCACAACGTGCCCGTGCTTTCGTACAGCGCAGTGCGCCCGGCCGGGGGATCTATCTCCAATTCACCGCTTTCCTCAGCGCAGCTATTGCACATGACCAACCTCGCCGAAGTGTTGGCGTGTCTGAACAGACACTTTAGGGGTATTCCTAGCGCTCTTCCGCTGTTCTCGCAGCCAATCGGAGCTTTGCCAATCGGCACCTGGACGGAGCGTTTCGGCGGTTCTCGCTCGAAACCGATTCCGCCCCTCCCTCAAGGCGTACAGGAGAGTCATTTAGTGCGCAGTCTTTATCCTATACGCGCGGTGCATCCGGACTCATCGATTGAACAGGTATTCGAGGTCCTTCACGGGATCTCGGCGCTCCCGATCGTGAACGAGCAAGGTGTGCTCATGGACCTGTACGCTCGCGGTGACGTCATTCGTCTTGCCGCGAACAGCGCGTACAGGTCCAACGTCAAGACGATGAGCGTCGCCCAGGCTCTCGGAGCGTCTCGAGTCACCGCATTGAACGAACAAAACGATCCGTCGTCCACGCACTACGGTCGATTCAGCACGTGCGTCCGCGGCGACACCCTTCGCACGGCGCTCGAGATGTTGTCCTTGCCCAACATCCGTCGTCTCATCGTCGTCGATCCCACCACCAAGGTTATCGAAGGCATCGTGTCGCTCTCCGACGTGTTTAGCTTCTTGATCGAAAACGCCTAGAGGACGTCGACGTGTAATACAGTTTTCAACGCAGCAACATCTTCCGCGCACCGCGTCACCTGTCCCTCACTCTCTAGCGCGTCGCTCGGCGCTCGAGCCGTCTCATGTCGACGGCAACGTTCGACACGCTTCGCCGCGACGTCCTACTCACATCCTTCAGTCGCAGATCGCCGAGCGCGTGCGACGTCGCGTCTTCGAGCGCCGCCGCCGGCTCGACCACGCATGTTTCTTCCGACGACGTCCCGTCCGCGATGCTCGCGCGCATGCTCCGTCGCGGAGAGTACGAGGGTGTGTTGAATCATGCGATTGTTCGCGAGGTCCTGGGCGCGGATAAAGCCTCGAAGACGGACGTAGACGCGCACTACTCGATGGTTTCGGCGCGCGCGAGAGAAGCAGACGCCGGCGGCGACGAAGCGCGAACGTTCGCGGTACTGTGCGCAGGCGTCGCCGCATTGTACGTGTTCGTGAAGACTGCGGTCACGGGGCCGCGACCGCGTCGAAGCGCGAGTGCGACGCCGCTGTTGGAGAACGCGAGCGCGGAGACAAGCGCTAGCTGGGATGTGCGCGCAAGAGAATCGCTCGCGCTGGACGGTGAAGACTTGGTCGGTAGATGCGACGCACCGCAGTACTTGCTTTTGGCAAGAATTTTATTGCTCGATAAGTTCGAGGCGTCTTTGGAGTGGATGAGGGATTTGGACGTGCCCGCACTCACACTCGTAGGGGCGCGAAACGCGATGCCGAAGGACGCCGTCCCAACTCGGGGAGGGCACGACGCCGTGTGCGCCTGGTTCGCAGCGCGAGTCGCCATCACGCATCAACGTGCGTTGGCGGGGAATTCACCGAGTTTGCGAGGGGCCCTTCTAGGTTTGCACGCGTATATTCTGGCGACGTATGCGCCAACAGACAAACGAGACGTCAGTTGTGATGACGCAATTTTTGAGTCCATGGCTCGCTTAGAAACGTGTCTGATGGAGCTTCAGTACGGACACAGCGATAGTGCATATGTATTGCAGCGCGGCGCCGCTTCTGTGCTTGGATTGAGGCATGATATAAACGGCGCTTTGGGATATAGAACGATTCATCAACAAGACGCAAAGTCCCAACTTGTGCTCAGCGTTGACATGGAGGGATCGAAGGATTGGTACGATAGCGACGACGACGAAGAGGACTTAGTCGACGACTTGGATCTCATCGATGGCTCGCAAGCAATGGCTAGAATCGCCACGGAGCTCAAGGGGCTGAGTGAAGATGGGAGCCAGATTCTCACTCAGCCACGTTTGGCCGAGGGAGCGACTCCGTCTGCGAAAATACCATCCGCCGCGCAGGCTATCTTGATCGCCGCCGCCATTACTGTTCGTAAGAAACAAGCGGATGATGGTTTGAGGAGCTATGAGATGGCGCCTTACACGGAGTTTGTGGGCGCGCAAGAGAAATCGCAGCCGATTCTCCGAGCGGCGACAACGGTGCTGACATCGAGACGCGAGCGTGATCGAGCTAGAACACGAGAAAGGTCCTTGCTGACACTTGAAGATCTAGTTCAGACGCTCGAGCGTCCGAAACCGAAAGTTTCGTCACGCATGCGATACGTTTTCTCCACCTGGTTTCCTCCCGCAGCAAATCTCAAGAAGGAACTCGGCGAGGCGCTCGTGAGTATTGGCATGGTCGGCGCCGCACTCGATTTATTTGAAGAGGTGGAACTTTGGGACGCTCTCATCGTGTGTTTGAGTTTACTGGGGAAAAAACAACAAGCTGCCGACTTGGTGCGTCGTCGCCTCGATGCTGATGATAGAAACCCGAAACTCTGGTGTGCGCTTGGCGATGCGTTGGAGGATGAACAGTACTACTGGAAAGCGTGGGAAGTGAGTGGGGAAAAGAATGCGAGGGCAAAGCGCTCGCTTGCTCGTCGCGCTGCTTTGCGGGAAGATTGGGTTGCTGCCGCAGAGCATTGGATGACTGCGCTTAAAATCAACCCATTATTCCCAGATGGCTGGTTTGCCGGCGGATATGCGTGCTTGAAGTGCGAGCGCACCGAGGAAGCTCTCGCGGCGTTTGTGCGCTGCACGCAAATTGATGCGGAAAACGGTCAGGCGTGGAACAACGTCGCCGCGCTGAATATTCGCCTCGGTCGTTTTGCCGCGGCTCACACAGCTTTGGGTGAAGCCATCAAGCATCAACGTAATAGCTGGCACACTTGGGAAAATCACGCGATGGTTTGCGCCAAGGTCGGAAAATTTTCAACAAGCGCGTTGGCTCTGCTCAAGGTTCTTGAGCTCACGCAAGGCGCGCAAGTTCACATAGAAACCATACAGACTCTAATAGAGCGAGTACGTGAAGCGAGAACTGATCCCAAGGGAGCAAAGTGGGTTCAGGACGCCGCGAACTGGGAATCGCAAGAAGCCGCAAAGATTGACGAAGAGGAAGAATCTTGGGCTGACACCAACATGGGCGATCTTGCAGCAGATATGTTGAGCGCTTTCTCAGGAATCGCGTTGCCGACGATTTCCTACGCTCCCAAGACTGAGTCCGCGCATCCGTCGGGTATGCCTCGCGTTGCGTTGCAACTTGAAGCGGCCCTGGAGCAAGTGCTCGTGCGCGCGGCCACGGGAGTGAGCGCCGGCGAACGCAGAGTGCGAGAGACGTCCATCATATGGGCCATGTTGGCAGATTTCAAAGCCATTCTCGGTGAGTACGACGAGGCTACTGAGGCTCGTTTGAAGAGCGTTCGAGCGTTGGACTCTTCCGGATGGAGAAAAGATCTTGAGCCATACGAGGATTATGCCGCGGCCACGAAGATCATGGCCGAGGGTGTCTTAGCCGACATCGCCGCGGGTAGAGGCGGGCACGTGGATAATCTCAGGTTGCACTTGAAGACCGTCGTAAAAGTTGGTGAGAAGCAAGGATTCGAAAACGTGGAAGCGTTTGCGACGATGTCGGCGTTGCTCGAAGAAGTATTGGCGATGTGATTTGTGTTTTAGCGCGCACGAGCGCAACAGTTACAATGCTAAAAATTAGAGTGCATCTTCTCGTTCATCTATTCCATTCCCCCGCTGGCGAGATTGAGCAAATAGTTCGCGGCCAATTGCTCATTCTTGTCGCATGCAAGGAAAGCCTCGATGCAAATTTCTACCGGGAAGCCTAATCCGGCGAGACGGTCAACTGTCTCGCGTTCCTCTTGAGTTAGTTCGATCTGCATTCCCTCACCTTGACCTTCGAGCTCGGGAACGCCCTCTCCGAAATCTGACATGAGATCTTGGATGTTTTCAGGCAGAGGCTCGTTCAACAACGCCAAGAACTCTTCTTGGTTGGCGTTGATGAGGTGATACAACTGCGGGTTCTGTCGTTGAAGCTCGGCGAGCATCGGCTGAAGAATCTGCGGGTTCCCTTGTACCATGGCGCGAATGGCTTGGAACTGCGGGTTCTCGCGTAAAAAGTCCAACATGCCGTCATCTCCCGCCCCATCTCCCGACATGTCTGGGATGCCCTCCGGGAACAGGTTGAGGGCCCCGCCGCCGAGCGCCGCCGACACGTCTGCCTGCGGAGCCTGCGGAGCCGCCGCCGCGGCCGGTTGCGCCTGCGCCGCCGGTCGCGGTGCTTCGGCTTGCTCCGGAATTCCCGTTAAGAGGTACTCGACCGCGCGATCAGGGTTGTTGAACGCCGCGCGAAGCGCCTTCAAGACTTGCTCGCGCTCGAATCCCATCGTCATGATGTTCGCGACGGTCGCCTCGAGCTCCGGGCCCATGACCATTCCCGCACCGCTCGCCGGCGCCTCCGCGGTCGTCGTCGGTGCCTCCGTTGCCATCGCCGGCGCCGACACCGCTGGCGCGGGCGTCGGCGTCGGCGTCGGCGTCGGCGTCGCCGCTGGAGCCGCCGCTGGAGCCGCCGCTGGAGCCGCCGCTTGCGCCGCCGCCG